TTCATGGCTTCTACGGTAACCCACAGCAAAGGATACTGTCTTAACAAAATATAAAATTGCCTCTAACACTAAGTCGAGCTATAGGAGTGCAGCACATGAGCCCCATTGTATTGTTTTAGATGAAGCACAGTGATAGTCTTATGCTTCCTTCAAGCCTCCTCTTTCTTACTGAATGAACTCCAGGGAATGGCATCATGTCAGGCTTTCCAGATGGATTATGTGAAGCCATAGCTCAATGTCATTTTCAATAGGAAGCCTCATAATTAAAGGTCAAATAGTCACTTCATCTGCAATCAATCAATAGAAAAAGTACTAATACGAAGAACTAATCAATCAATGGCAAATGCACTAATAAAAGCAATGAATCAAATTCAGCATGTGTGTAGATTCAAGTTCTTAGAAAGGACTGAGACAGGGCAGAAGCAAAAACAGTAAAATAAACCAAAGGTATATATCAAGAGAATTTTAGGAAGCTTCTTAAGTAAAAGTTCTCATCTTTGGTTCATTAGATGTATGGGTACCACTTGGCCTACAAGGTTTTATTCTTAAATATACATACTGGGAATAACAATAAATAGCAACTTATAAGTTTTACTTAATGTATTTTATTTTATTTTTTTTTGCGGTACCAGGGATTGAACTCAGGACCCTGCGGACCCTGCACTTGCAAGACAGGCACTTATTCTACTGAGCTATCTCCCCGGCCCCTCTATTTGAGATATATGCACATCTCTATGTGTGTATGTGTGGGTAAAATCACTAGAAGAAACATGACAGTGATTGCAAAGAGGAAAGATATTTTTCAAGGGCCGAATAGTTACATTATAATCTGCTGTATCTCAGTTTTCTGTGAGATATGAAAGAAAATCACCTCTAAGCAGTATTTCATACTACTTTTTGGAATATGAATTCTTCACACCAGCATGATGTTCTTCCAGTTCCATTCAGATAAGAACTTTCACTACAATAATGATTAGCCTGTAGCTCAGGTCACCACCAAGGCAGATCCTCTGTACCAGTGTCATCAGGTTTCCAGTGGAGGGAAATATGCATTGGATCTTGGGAAACTGCACAAAGTACAGTTACAGAGCTTTACAAGCCTATTCCTCCACTCATGTCCAAATGTCCCTTGGTGTATCTGGAAGTAAGGGTGATCTCTCTCACGCATAGAAGAAGCAGAGAGGCCATTTTCAAAAATGCTGACAGGAAAATGCAAATGACCAAGAATGGCAGGACATTAAGGATGAAAATAAAATTTCCTAAATTTACAGACAAAGAAACAGGCCAAATCACATATTTAGATCATTCAGTTTCAAGAGAACTTAAGTCTACCATGCTACAAATAGTTAAGGATTTATACTAAGTGGTGACAAGATATCATGCTAACATCTTACTGGAATATTATATGGATGGACTGCAGTCTCCATTTCAGGAGTGGACACTACAAAAGCAAACAAAAATCCAACCCATTTTCCAGCAAAATACTATTTCTGTGTTTAGAGCACGCATCTGCTTGTTTGAAAGTTAGCTTTCAGAATGTTTAAAGGACAAAGGAATATGACTTTGAGATCAAGCAAAATGAAATGCAGGAAAAAAGAGAAAAAGGATTAAACAAGGGGGCATTTTTCTTATATAAAAAAAGAATACTGATTACACTGCAGGATGTATCTTGGGTATGCATCTTGCACTCTGTTCAACAGAGCCAGTTTTAGCACAGAGAACATCTTGGAGAAACAAAATCGTCCTTTGGTTTTACTGTCAAAAGTAAATCCCCTTGAGAGGGTCAGGCTTAACAGCCCACCACAGAAATGCAAAAACTGTCTGAGGCAGCCAGGGTTCAGTGTGCTTTAAGGACCTCAGATATGCACTCCATACATCATCTGCCGCAAGACTACCTACCTTTGGATAAGTGCCATAGTTTTTAGAAGTCTTGGAATGCCACACACGATATTCACAATAACACATGTACAAGAAGTGCCAGAATGGGTTCTTGGAGATCAACAACTAAACCATACTTGTTATATAAAAATCTAGAAGATAGTAATCAGGGAACTAGAATGCTAAAAGTGGCAACACAGTCATATTATAACTAACCTAAACAATAATAAGTGAACACGAGCTACTGCTTGAGGCCCACCATATGCCAGGAAGCACAGCAAGCTCTTCAAGGGGTATCTCATTTAGTTCATGGTAATCTATGTACAGTGCAATTACTACACTTATTCTGTCATGAATTGCCTACCTATTAATTGCTAAGTGCTGTGCTAGGTGCTTAACTATTTTTTTTTCTTTCATTTTAATGATACTTACAGAGGAATTGTACATGTTAAAAAAAGCTAAGATTCAGGAAGTTAACTGAAAATCAAGATTGGAGTATGGTTTTCAAAACTCCTTCAACTTCCAACTTGATAATGATTATGAAGAAAAACCACACAAACACAGTGTTCAGTTATTTGACTAAGCTGTAGCCCTAGACAGCAAATGGCAACTGCTCCTTAAAGAGCTTGTCCAATTTTAAAATCATTTTTCAAACTTGGTAAGACTCAAACTCTATACAGAAATATGTTTAGAATTAATAAAACAATAGTGAAATTTCTTTTTTCTTAAATTTATAGGTAGAATTTCTTTAATCTGACCTAACTAAGAAAAATGCCATGATCTTTCATTTTATAGATTGTCAAAATTGTCAGCAGGAGTATTTGCACTACATGCCTACTACCACAAGGAGTTTGTGAATGATGCATATTTCATAAAGTTTCTAATTAATGACTTTTAATGAGTAAAAATAAAGACTGCCTAAGAGGTTATTGGGATAATGGTTTCTAAATTAGATAAAGCAAAGTAGAAAACAGTGGTTTTGTTCTTTTTTGTTTATTTGTTTTTTTATTTTTACTTTTTTTTTTGGTAGGACAATTTCAATAATTAACACATTGCATACATTCTTCCTCGTGGTTAATTGCTATACAAGATGCAGACATGATATCCTATTTACAAACACCATTAGAACAAATCACTCTATTCATTAAGAGAATGTAACTATATATCTATCCTAACCACTTTGAATACACAGATACAAAATGGACATTCATCTATATACCTTTTTTTTGTTAAGTTCCATTACTTGAATATTATAGGTGTGTAAACTCAGCAAAATATTCTAAAAGAGTCCAGTAGCCCATAATAGTATTGGGTCTTCTGCTTGACTGGCAATGTCAGAAATTGTTGACCTGAGTCCCCTACAGCTCAACATAACAGAATGGTTTTACTTCTTATATTTCGTTTTTATACTTTTCTGCTGGATGGTTAAGACCAAGGTAAAGCAGGACCTATGCAACAAGAGTTATAGCTTTTGGGTCTGATAAGGTCAGTGAAATCCCCTCAGGATTTATCCTGAGATCCTGTACCTCAGATTGAACCTTTGTCAGTGTGAGCCACGTGGATAAGTCATGGCCATTGCTTGGCCAATGTGCTCTCTGTGAAAGCCTGAGAGAATGTTTTCTCTCCATGTGCCTCTCCTTAGGCACAGTTTACATCATCGATCACTTTCCTCTTTGGCCCCGTAATCTCCTTGATCAGAAAATTTGGGACACTACCGAGTTACATGACATTACAGTACAAGTTATGTCCTGTGTCTTAATTGACCTTCGAAGGCTAAGGCCAAAATGTTGGCTTTCCTTGTGGCCCTCCTTTTTCTCTAATTTTGGTCTGCAAACTTAGGTTGTTAACCATCCAGAAGACAAGCTTATTGTTATTACCATACAACTTAGGCTGTTAAGTTTAACCTCACTATCTGTCTGTATATCAAACATCTTAGGCATAGTATGGAACAGGTATTTTTCATCAAGTATTGATATGTTGAACTTCAAGTCTCTACAGTTTTGTTCTTAAATTATATTTTTTTTTGTTAATTTTATTGAGAAACAAATAGCAATGAGACAGTTTCAAAACTGATTAGTAGGACAGTTTCAATAATTAATACATGGCATATTGTTGTCTTTGTAGTGGTTATTCATAGTACAAGATACAGACATGATATCCTGTCCAAATACTATTAGTACAAATCTTTCTTCTCATTTAATTAAGAGAAAGTAGATGTACATCTATCCTATTCTGAATATACAGATACAAAATGATCCTTCATCATTTGTATCTCCTTTTTTGTTTAGTCTGAGATGGGTATTCCATTGTCATTTAAATATTGTAGGCTCGTGAATTCAGCAAAATAATCCAATATAGCCCAGTAGTTTATAATAGTAGTGAGTTATCTGTAGCACTGGCAATGTCAGAAGTTGTTGACTTGAGCCTTTTACAGCTCAGCATATTAATATGGCTTTACTTTTTATACCTCGTTTTTATACTTTTCTGCTGAATGGTTAAGACCAACATAGAGTAAGACTTATATAACAAGAAATGTAACTTTTGTATCTGTCTTAAAAACTATTTTTGTTCATTAAATACTTATTTCACTTTTAGTGTTAATCCACTTGACCTAACAATAACTACACTGTGTTTTTTTTAAATTAGAAAACAACGTTTGAAAATGAATTTCAAATTAACATCAATGTCCAATTAGGGTAACATTATTTTCACCTTGCTTTGAGCACCCAGAAGAGAAGCGATGCTTTCGAGGGGTAATTCTAGAACATTCCAAAGCAAAGTGTTAAGAAGCTGTCTTTCCACTGACATCTCTGCCTCATCCTGGCTCTAGTACAAATCTTTCTTCTCATTGAATAATAATTCTGCATTCTTTTTTTAAAATAAGAATTGAAAATATAATTATAAATTAAACAAAATTCAATACTATTAAATTTGGCTCCTCAGAAGTTCGTTTAATCAAAAAATTATGCCACAGCAGTGACGAACTCTTATTTTGTCATTCTTTATCTGACAGAATGGACAACATCCCATTGCATGTAACACGGAGTTTCATTAAGCTTCAAAATCTTAAACTGTGACTCTATGTTGGCAATATGCAGTCTTTAGTTCTATGAACCACTTACCCAATGTGAGGGATTTGTGTGTAGAACAGAAAATGATAGCCACTGTATCTGCTGGTGTAAACCCCGAGTTATTCCTAGGGGCCAAAAAAAAACAGCAAAACAGAAAATATGTTTTAAAAAACAAATATTATATAAAAATCCTACTTCACATACCCTAAATTAAAATATGGTATCTGTCTTCACATCAACATCCCCTTGGTCATCCCTGTTGACAGAAGTAATTCTAGGCCAAAAGATATAGAAGAGTCTGAATTTCTTTTTAGAGCGCATTTCTCATATGATTATCCATGGAAAGGAGAATCATTTAAAAATGTGTTGTGGGGGGGGGTCTTCTAAACCCACATGTATAACCAGTCCAAGGTGGTACAAAATTTTGAGAAAATAACACAGGAAGGCACTTTTTAACTTATCTCTCTCACCTGACATGACTTATCAGATTGAAAGAATTAATTTCTTTCCAAAAATGCTTCTCTTCAGGAACAACAATTCTTGTGGCAGCAATCAGACTCTTAACAGGTTGTGGCAGCAAGAGAGAAATTATTATATTTTGAGCAGTGCTCAAAGATCTTTTACCTAAGTGTAAAGACAGTAACTCTAAAAATCAGGTGTAACAACACCCTATGTACAGAGGAGAATACTGAGGTGCACAGAAATTACTTGATTTATTCAGGGATCATCACTGATAAGCGACAAAGCTAGGATTTAAGTCAAGCCTAGCTCCCTCACTTGTGCTCTTCACTTTGAAGCCCTACTATTATTATATAGTATGTTAAACAGGAAAAAAAAATCTCACTTCATCAAAATTGATTAAATGTTATGGGTGCTCAGTACTGTTGGCTGTGTATCATAATCTCATTTTCTCTGCTAGATTATAAAGGTTTAGAGAATCACCAGGCAAAAAGATTAGTAATTATTACTAATGCGCCCTTATATTTCATACATTATTCTTTTCTGTAGAGCCAGGGTTTGATGATATCGTGAGTGTATACATTTGCTATCATTATCTCTGACAAAACAGCTCACAGGACCATGATGATCTGGAAGCTGACTGTATGGAGCCGCAGCTACAGCAATCTACCCAATTTTATAGATCTCTAATGAAAGAGAGTCCACATTTCCCTTAGAAACCTCATCATGACTTTTGCTGTGATAAGTTTTAATCCTTACTTAGAAAAGTCCCCAAATAGATCCCACCCCCTGTTGTTTTTGCTGGCTTCTCACTGGAGGGAAGAAGGACCCTGTCTTCCCCTCATCCTGTGTGTGTCAGTAGGCCCTTGCTCTTCTTATTTTGCAAAGACAGATGTCACAGCTTCCGAGCCATTTTCCTTCCACTCTTTCTTGATATCAACTGAATCTCTGGTATCTCTGGTGACACAATGTGTGTCACCTGAGTGTCATGAGACTGCTTTATGGTTTCGACAATGGATTCTCAGAAGGAGAAACCACTGGGTTTGTAGCAGTGAGAAGGGGCCAAGTTTTCCAGAAATCTGGTGGAGAGGAGTCATGGATGATCTGAACACAATTACAGCTGACAGAAATAGCCAGTGATCTAGGTGTCCAGAGAGAGCTAAGAAGGTGTGACTAACGGGGGGCTGGAGCGAAATCCCCCACAATCTCTGAGCTGGAAGCAAAAGCAGACAAGATAGGTCTGAAAAATATGGACATTTTCTAGGTAGAGAATGGCAAAGCAGAGGCAACTTCAAAGGTTTTACTTTTGTTGTAACGTGGAAGCCACTGTACTTATCTATAGGGTATGAGGTAATACTGGGGTGGGGACCTAAAGAAATTAGAAAGGTTGGAAACAGGAACATGACACAGTCAACTGACAGTGAACTGTGCAGGCCTGGAGCTCAGCTGTGACTAGAGGCCACAGCACAGATGTGCCCCTGAGTTCAGGGGTGATTCCTAGAAAGGCAAGTGGCATCAGTAGCACTGGTGGCCTTTTCAGGTTTTTGCTACCTTTGGTTATAACCGGTCCTGGCCACACCTGGATCTAGGCAGTTCGGCTTTCTTCCTGGAGAGTCTGGCAGTATCCTTCTCTCATGAACTTGTTCCACTTGAACTCACTCATTCCAGACTTCTGAATACTTGCAGTGTGTCCAGTTTCTCTGGTCACTGGGCTCTGATTTGATGGCTATACTGCTTGCTATCACTCACTAAGGCAGCACTTAGAACATGGATAAAGAGGCTACTGCCAGGCTCAGCTACTTGTCCTGTTTGGGGTAAGGGTACAGAAGCTGGGCCCGCATGGGTGGGGGACACTTCTGATTCAGGTAAAACGGAACATTGTTCCATGGTCCTGTTGATGCAGCTCCATTGGTGTGGCAGGGAGGGTCACAACAGTAGGGATGTCTGCTGTTAAAGCCATAGCCCTCTTCAAGGGGGCTAACTTGAATCCTACCCATGCAGCAGCCATCTGACCACATCTTCACAGTCTGCCTGAACAGGGAGCCACAGAGCTGATGCCCAGGTAGCTCTCCACTCATGACGAAAGGCCATAGCAGTGAGCACAGCTGGGTTCTCAGTGCTCTGCGCCCAGTGCTGCCTCCTGCTCAGCACAACCATAGAAGGCGGTGGCGTTACTGTCCTCCTTTTTCCAAAAGGGGAATGTGAAGCATAAGTGGTTTCCCTAATGCCACACAAGCAAGAAGTAGGTTGGCCCATACTTTGGAGACCAGTTTGCCGTCTCAGAAAGAAAGTATAAAAAACAAAAAGGAAAAAACACTAAACATTACAACTAATTTAACAGGTGAGAGCAGTTATCTCAGTCGATAGCCTGTGCAAAGCCATCGCTGTCGAGGGCAGCTTCAAGGTACAAGACCATGGTCATGCTCGGAAAGACAATGTCCTAAGCATGATATTTAAGCACTGATGACTGCAGTTCTTTTCAGTGATGAACGTCTCTATTGTGTCTGCCATGTTCTTGAAAGGCATCACATTATTATTTATTTTCTAACTCTACCTTATCTCTTTTTAATACCGATTTTCTTTTTATCCTGTTTTTATGATTCTTTTGATCACTTTAGCTTCCCTGGAGATGTTTATTTCCTTTTCTTCCCATGTGGTCTTTTTACTCTCTGACAAAGCTTTCAATCAGTGTTCTCCACATAATATTTATTTTGCCTTCCTCTGTGGTACTCACAGAGGAAAACATGTCAGGTTTTACTAGTGGAATCACAGAATGTAGAACTGAAAAGCTCCTCGGTGGGAATTCTTTCTAAACCCACTGTTTTTAGAGGAGGAAACTTACATGTCAGATACTTTGCTTGGTGAATGTCTGTACTGCTGTTCTGCCTCTGCTCCTTTTGGAGGAAACCTCATGTCGTTAGCTGGGTACCACAAAGCAGGGTGCATAGGGCTGCCAGGCCGAGTGGCCTAATCTGGAAATGGCAGAGACCTGCGCCTAGAACGCCCATCTGGTGTGCTTTCCCTTTTCCCTTCCTCCTAACCCCTCCTGTACGTCTATCCTCCTCCCAGGGCTGTGGTGAGAGGCCCACTGAGACACAGGGCTGTAGCATTAACACAACTATACAACTACTTGAATATTTGTTTTCCTCCTTCTGTTTTCTTAGGTGTTCTTTCCTCACTCTAGTGAGGCTAGGTGTCTCTCACTCTGGTTATCAACTCAATAAACTATTCATCAATCTAACAAACTACATTTTTTTTTTGAAAGATTGTCAACTTGTGTTTTTTAAACTTTTTCAACATTTTTAACTTTGACCACTTCCCCAAATTGCCAAAACCTTAGGCCACTATGTATAGTTGATTTTGTTTGATGAATAACCCCTGTTTTCTTGAAACTGTTGACACAGACTGTATTACAAAGTTAGAATTGCTAATTCTCTTTCTTTTCTTGTTAGTTTTTTTGATATAATATAAACTATTTCAATATAATAATAAGCATCCTATGGTAGCTAACACACACACACACACACAATGCTGGGGTCTTTATGTGAAGATTATTTAATTCTTCAATATTCCTATGATACAGGTTCTATCACTGTCTGAATTTTATGAGTAAGGAAACTGACAAAAGCCACAGTTATTAAATAGAGCTACTACCCATGTCTTTCTGATTCCAGCTTTGGAATTTGCACCCTGACACTATTTTGTACACAGACAAATGACTCTTTACTTTAAATGCTAGCTGGCATGACAACACACCAAGACAGTTCATCAAAGAAAGGCTAAGGGAGCATAATGTGGCAAGGAAGCCGAGCTTTCTTTCACTGGGATGCCATAGTGTGTTGCGTGACAGACAGACAGGTTGATTTCCAGGCTGAGATTCCTTTTTCTTTTGCCATCTGACACCTCAAATTGGTTTTAGATTTATTAGATTTATTGGATTGCTTAGGAAAAAACAAAGAAAACAGAACACATGTCAGTTTCACCAATTTCAGGTAGGAAAGAGTCAGAATTAGGAAAAGACAGTGGAACTCAACAGACTAAAATCAATGAGTCCTAGTTCAAATTCTTGGTGCCTTTGATGAAACTGTTTAGAATTCAGTTAAATACTCAGTGAAATTCTCTAACTAAAATAAACACTATGAATTTTAAAAGTAATTAAAGTAATTTAGAGCAATGGACAAAACATAGGCGTATACATTTGTAGCTCTAGGTATGGTATCTGACTTTAGCTAAGTTATTAAACTACTACAATCTGATTTTAGGCAAGTTACTAAGCTAAACCATCATTTGTGGTCCTCATCAGTGAAACAGCAGCAAAGAGGCCAACGATCATAGTCTTGCCATCACACTCACAGGAAATGCTATAAGGACCATCCCAGGCATCCTTCATATTTCCGGTGAAGCTTTAGCAGCTTTGGGGGCTCTCAGCTACCAAATAGATGAAAGACATCTCCTCAATTTCATCCCCTTAAAAAATCTCCAATTTTGAGTGGCTCGTTTTAGGACCATTACTTTGGAACCTGATTATCATTGTTTCATAGTCTATGGTTTAACAAAAAGAATGTTGACTGACAATGGGTCAAGGAAGTTCAAAGCATGACAGAATTTCAGGGAAGGCAAATAGGTGGTAAAGGAGGATCTCCCAACCAAGGTAAGTAGGAAAGATCAGTGTACTGCATGCTGGAAATTGTTCATTTAGTCAACTAGTTGTGACATGCTTTTCCCATTGTCTTCCTTTAGCAACCTGAGAGGTTTCTGATCAATACTGCATCTTTGCAAGGAGTTTTTCAGGTAATTTTATAGGATGCTCTCTGCATTCTACTTTTCTGATATAATGAACAGGCCTGATTTTTTACTTCCACCAAAAGGAGCAGTCAGCACTCACTGACAGGCAAAGGTCTTTTCATCGTGACATAACAAGCCATTCACCAAAGGAACTTTAAAATAGATCTTTCAGACACACGCACTGAGTTATATTTTCTCTGTGACTCAATGTGTCTCCAGGTTTTATTTGTACCTCATAAATCAGAACCCCAAGCTTGGGAAAATGCTTCAAATGACATTCATCAGTACATTTTTATTGACTGTTTACAACCAGCCTAGTGTGATTCCAAGTGCTATGAGGGCTAACATGAGGACAGAACCCATCCTCCCAGGCCCTGAGATGATTTTAAAAGGCCCCCTTAATAGCCTAACCTCTTTCCTCCTGGGAACTCCCTGGTTTTTCAGTCTGGCTCAAGCCCACCTGACCAGTGACTAGTGCTACTTGTAATCTTCCTTTACTGTTGCCCCATTAAATCATAACAAAGGCTTAAATAATATCTGTTGGGGCCAGGCATGGTAGCACATGCCTGTAACCCCAGCATTTGGGAGGAAGAGGCAGAAGGACTGCACTGAGTTGAAGGCCAGCCTAAACTACATAGTGAGGCCCTGTTTCAAAAAAAAAAAAAAAAAAAAAAAAAGAAAAATAATACCAGCAGGAGAAGTTGCATTGGGTGGGCCTTTATGAACAGGAAAGTGAAGCTAAGACATGAAGACCTGTTTGGCCATGGGCAGCCTAAGCAAGAGAAGATTTCTTATGCTAGTTAGCATAGATATACAGCTACTTTGTCTTAGTTCAATGAGAAGAAAGTTTGGAACTAATAGTGTTTAGGCAAGATATCATGTCTGCATCTTGTACTACGAATAACTACTACAAAGACAACAATATGCAATGTGTTAATTATTGTAACTGCCCTACTAACCTGTTTTGAAACTGTCTCATTGCTACTTCTCAATAAAATTAATATTTAAAAAAAAAGAGAAGGAAAGGTGTTCTTTAGAGGAACAGCAGTGATTTTTCCTTAATACAATGCTTACCCAGCATGAATGCTAGTGCTGATTCCCGAGATTGCATTTAGCCTGGAGAGCCTTGTACTTAAGAAATTAACTTCATTGCAGGCAGTGGCCAGCCAGTGAGGATATCCAAATAAGAGAATAATTATCAGAACTTGGAGTCATTGTAGTAGTATGAAATGGAGAGGGAAGGTTGGGCCTAAACATGGAGTTACCAGGAAGGTATACATTGCAACAGACTAGACAAAGGAGGTATCAATAACCTGAATTAAAGACATGCTAGGGAGCAGAACAAATATTACAAAATTGGTATCAAGGCATTTTAAAAAATGATGTGAAGGATTTCAGTCGAAGTAACTCTGAGGACGGCTGTTCCATTAAAATTAAGTAAAGAAACAAAAGAAGTAGAGGAAGTTTTGGTAGAAAAGATTATTTCTATTTTGAGTATCTTGAGCTAAGCTCTTGTATAGGCAGTCAGAGGAAATTAGCTAAATGGTAAGGAAAACCACTCATGAGTCCTGAATCTCATGAACAGTATAAAGCAGCGAGCTCAAGCTAGAAGAATGGAAGAGGCTGTCTAAGCACATGATGTGGACAGATGAGACAAGGGACAAGGATAGATTATCTGGATGACTACAGAGGGGTGGCAAAGAGTGAGAAAGAAGAATTAGGGACAGGCGGAAAAAAATAGGACAGTAGAGCATCAGATTAGCCAAACAAGGAGCATAATTCCTCATTTAGGAGATTAACAAAGGATACCAAATCACTTACCTTGTTGAAAAGATGAAGGTTAAGAGCATAAAACTCAGTTGAATAGAAACTACTGAAGAGAGAGAGAAAAAAAAAGATTGAGGGAGGTCAAAAAGTAAATAAATAAACTGAACAAATGTACAATGTTAAATTGATAGAATCATTTAAGTCAGTAGAACTAAATTTATTCTTTTTTTCTTTTTTAGCTTTCTGTGAAGCTTTATTCCAGAGGGGCTCAGTCCTTCTTGGCAGCTGCCTTCCTCATGGCGGCCAGCATGTTGTTCAGTTCATGCTTCCTCTTGGCGAGGATGTGCGTCCCCACCCTTTCCTTGATGAACCTGAGGGCGTGTTTGTCCTTGGGGACCTTGAGCAGCTCCACGCGTGCCACTTGTAGGAGGCAAAGCCGCACACCTCCCAGATCACGTCCCACACGAACTTGGTGTGTTTGGTGAGGTGTCCGTGATAGCGGCTGTGTCTCGGTTTGCTCACATTCTTAGTCACCTTGTGGCCCTTGTTGAGGCCCATAGCCATGGGATAGTGGAGGGCCATTGTGACTGTTCTTTGATGGTTGCTGTGGCTGAAGCTAAACTTATTCTTAATAGTGATATCCCCAGACACCATCTGTGATAACTACTGAGAATCTACAAACCCTTTTGACTTAAGATTTGGTAATTTAATTTTTTAATTTAGAAAGAGATCATTTAAATTATGAGCATGTATCATGTATATGGCACAGATGTGGCCCTATATACTACTTTGGAATAACTCATCTTCATTCTTTTTTTTTTTTTGCTTTGCTTTGTTTTATTTTTGTGAACTCGGGACCCTGCGCTTGCCAGGCAGGCACTTAAGCTGCTGAGCTATATCCCAGGCCCCCCTCATTTTTATTCTTAATAACAAAATCTATCTTTTGTTACAATATTAATAAAAGCTGCCTTTGGTTTTTTGAGCCTTAGCAGTTGCTGGCATTTTATAGTGTATTGTTCCTTAAAATGAGATGATACTGTTTTAGGTATATTTTAATAGAAAATATGATATAAATATTTGTATTCTAACTTAATTATTATACATACAAAATAATGGTATCATATATTATAAAATCCTGCCTTTATATCACAGTAAAGATTCAGACTAGTCTAAACTTAAACTAAATTGGTGACAGAGTGCTATATCGGAATTCTGCATTTGGTAGATACTAAGGTTTCTTTCATCTGACATCAGCTATTGGGAATCAGGAAACAGTGCAGAGGACATGAAAAAAAAAAAAATCCCAAGTAGATTAAGATCATACCTAAGTGATGTCTTTCTACAGAACAAATACTCAAGATCAAGTCACTGAGTAAATATATATTAAGATAAACTAAATATTGGTTTCTAATGAAATTAATATTAGAAAACGTGTTTGAAGCGCTCAAATAACTTCACGTTGCTACTGAGGAGACTGAGGGGTCGGCAAGGTAGCCCCGCCCCACTTACTTATGAAGAGTATGAGGACGAGGCTGAACTTATCGAGGTCGAAGTGTGGGTTGGAGAACGTGTCACAGAATGTGGTGTAGATGATCATGAGGAGCACGCTGCTGCTGATAGCACCAAAAGGAGGTTTCTTCCTTTCAAGCCAATCCTTGATGTATCTTCGGACAATCTGTAACACAGAGAGCAACAGGTTGCCTCTTTTCAGAGATGCAGGGAGTTGAATGGGGCATCACAAAGTGATTCTGACAGCAGAAAGACATAAAGGAAAGAGAATAATTTGGATGACGGCCACAGTGGATTTCAAAGCTTCCCTGCTGTGCCACTCTTCTTCTGGGGAATTTAACATTTGTAGTGCAACTTCCACTGGGTGTCCATAATGAGAGTATATTTTCAACCACACTCAAATCCATCCTTAATCATGCCAAATGCTCTTTGCTAGCTGTCACTGAGACATGCCCATTAAGCCTCCCCAAAGTTTATCTCCTCTGCTGATCCTAATGGATGTGTGTAATTATCACAGTCCCCTTTGCCTCGACAGACAATTCCAAGTACAACTTTGGGAATCTTAAAAATCTGACATCTTCAAGAATTTCAAGACAGTAGATAATCAAAAGTGATCCATGGAACATATTAATATTTAAAATGCTAGCAATGCACCAGAAGTTTTTAATTAAATTATAACTCATGCTTGAAAAGCAAAAGTGCATGTGTTGTGGGAGTTTAAATAATTCAAACTCTGAATATCTAGAGTTTTTCTGAATCCAAAGACAAATGCCATTTGCATGCTTTTAGAATTCCAAAATTAACACTTAAAAATGAATAAACCTGTCCTAACTTTCCCATAAAAGGATCAGTGAAATATAAAGTTACAGAGCAATCTTCTCTTCTTTAAAAATCAAATCAGATATTAAAAATCAGAAGAGTCAATATTGGTGATAACTTGTGTTTGGACATAAAAGTGAGCCATTCTCTTTAAGCTCTATCATAAGGATGATAGTTGAGACACATTAAGTTTTGAGTCACTCATTATCCTGCATAATTGAACGTGAGATTTCACAACAGGCTGAGTTACCATGGATCCATTAGCAATAATGAGGTCAGGGAACTTCTGATAAGGCTGATGGGGTTCTGTCATCATCAACTCTGTCACCAAAAAGGCTTAATTTACAATGGGGCACGTTTTCACAGATACTTACGAGCAACTACATTTATTTCCCCAAATCCATGGTTTCATTTTCTACACTTATATGTACCCATGAGCAACTGGGGTCTCAAAATGTTATGTGGAAAATTCTAGAAAGAAACAACTTATAAATGTAAAATATATTTGCTTACAGTATATTGTCAGTTATTTTATTATTACTGTTATTTATTATCATTGTTATTTTATTATCATCAAAGTGTAAATTAAGCTTTATGGTGGGTATCTATATATGGGAAGAACATATATAGGTTTTTTTGGGCTATCCATATTTTCAGGCGTCTACTAGGACCTCTTAGAATGTACACCCGGAGGATAAAAGGAGGAGAGTTTCTGTACTCTTAACAGAAACTCTGAAAAAATGGCTGTTGGATCCATGTCAACTGTTCTCGAGGACTCACTAAGAGAAATAACAGAATAAATAAGGGAGGTCTTGGCAGAAAGGTGATCACTTGGTACAAGGCACAAGAATAAAACACTCAAGATTGGGTAGGGTGGGGATAGAGGAGAATGTTACATACAGATAAATAGTAGTTAATTTTTTAAAAAATATATTTATTATAGGGACTACAGGGTCTCACTACGTAGATTGGACTCATAGTGATCTGCCCATTTTCAGCCTCCCAAGCACTGGGATTACAGGTGCACACCACCACACCCAGTCTCATTCACCTTCTCAGTGCACCCTGGGGGCAGGGCCGGCATGGCATACCGGGGATCGGACCGGGTCCCTGGTCCCTGCATCTGCCTAAGCAGGCGCTTTAATCTATTGAGCTATCTGGCTGGCCCAATACTAGTTAATTTTTTAAAAATGTGAATCATACAATTAAAATTATAGCTAGATTCATAAAATATCATAATGGATAGAGGTGATCCTGCACCACAGTAATTTATTTAGTGTTCATTTCTTTAAGATTAAAAATGCAGTAAAATATTAGGATGTACATTTTGGATAGCCATATTTGAAGTATCACAAGTTGTCCAGATGGTCACATGTTCAAATATACCACCATGGGTGGTGACAAAAGAGGATGGAGGACTTCATTTATAGGGTCATTTCATAGCCTATTGTGTTTGGCAGCAGAAAGTGTCCTAAATGTAATAGAGCCTAACTTGTAGGAAATTAAATAAATATGGCACTAGTGAAATCTATGTGGTCTTATAATCTCATTTCATATACAAATCATTTGAACACATAAGTTCTTTTGCAACAACAGGCTACATAAATGCATGACTTCAATTCTCAAAATAAGAGTGTCTTCTTCTCCCACCACCATGACTCCCTGGTGCTAAAATAAAAAAATGTCCAAGCCTCAATGAACACGGGCCTTAACTTGATTTACTTAACCTAATAACCTCTTCATTCCGGAGCACTTGGAGACTCATGGTACAGTAGGACTCACGCAATAAGGCATGAAACAAGGGCTCCTGAGTTCAGGACCCTCCTAGCCAAAATGCCGTTCTTTTAAACATATCTCTGAGTTAGTACTGGATACTTAATCTTGAGAAAGAAAACAACAGAAAAGTTGGGAACTAGATGGAACTACAAGAGAAACAATAACCTTAGAAGAAAAATTGTCTTTCACCATTTTTAGCCTTATTGTGGCATTTGCCTGTTTCCTAAGGAAATCATTTTATATCTTGCCAGGCTCCATAGAATTTTCCCATCTTCCTCTAAAATTAAATTCACAAAGCAGCTGCTTCTGCACTGTGTAGCTAGAAAAGTGTGAAAATGTTTCATAAACAAAGCTGGGTGAAGCAGTGTTGACATGCTTCAAAGATGTGCTTTGGCTATAAACTCCAGGAACCTCAGCTTCTTTCAGTTCAGTAACTTAATTTTCAACATGATACTCTATTTGTTAGAGTATCTTTTTAAAATTTTTAAATTAGTATCTTTTTAAAATTTTCCAAAGCTTTTGCCTTATAGAAAGATTTAATAGCCTTATAGGAAACAAGATTCTGTTAGACATAGATTAATATAACCTAATATATAGATGTCTTAAAATTCTCCCTTGAGAAAAAAGACAATCCAACTTAGGAAGAAACGCTACTCTAGTGAGGTAGCCAGCTGTGTCTTCAGAATCTATACTAATTCTTTTAGGTATTAAACGAAATTTGAGCATTAAAAATTAAATAACAAATCCTCATTAATTTCTTTGTTTTTTCCTTGTGAAGAAAAAAAAAAAAAAACACTTCCATAAGATTTTAGTAAGAAGTTTCTATTGTCTCACTTTCAGAATTTTTTAAAATTTTAAATAAAGTACCAGGAAAAGTTAAAGAAAAACTTAAAATTGACTCTCTGTAATCCTAATAAGCTAAGTTACATATCAATTACCATGTAACCTCTGAGTTGGGAATCTGTAAAAATGACAGGCCTTCCATGAGGAATGTCTGTATACCAAGGTGACTGTGAAATAGAATATCCATCATTTTACCTTCCTTAATTTTCTTGTCAAGATATTTCCCTGCATTTTATTTCTACTCTATCTTTATACTTATAAATGAGTTTTTGAGTGAGGATATATGATATATAATTTTTCATGTTAAACCTGAATTTTAAACTAATTTTTATTCAAGATGGCTTCAGAAACTCTTTAATTTTTATCTTTGATTGCTCAAACCTATGTATTTTCATAAAGTATTTTGTCTCTTCATTAATATCTGGCTGAAACATGTGAAATCAATGTATCGTTCAATGTGCACAATATTTTTCTTTAAAAATAATTAAACATTTATTAAATTCAAAATAAATTTTGTAGAAAGTGTAAATACATGGTTTCAACAAGCATGCCTTATCTACTTCGCTTTTTGAAAGTTTTTCCTATTTATTTATTTTATTCACATTGGAAAGAATTACAAATATTATTCTGCAAAGTTTATATTTGAAAACAGAGGTACAAAGAGTCCCCAAGCTTGCATAAAATAGTAAAAACAAAACAAAACAAAACAAAAAAAACTAGTCGGGTGGAGGAGAAGTAGATCTCTATCTCCAGAAGGAGTACAACAGAGAGGTCAAGGTATAAACTCTGGAGCCAGGATGCTAGACCTTGAGTCAAAGCTTCTTGCCTTACTCTGCAGTGTTGGGTAAATTTACTAACCTATGTTTGTGTCATCTGTAAATGGATACAATGGTTATAGGAAGATTTAAGTGATTAAATAATTCTTAAATGCTTTAGAAAGAGAGCTTGTACACGGTAAATGATCTCTAGTGTTATATCCAAGTTCCCGTTAGGGGATGCAATGCTTATCAGTATATCCAACTGTATAATGTAACAGCTACTTTTCTATCAGTATAACTCACATAAGGCAATGAAAATAGCTCCTAATATAATTTTATATGTACAAAATTTTACTAGCATTAATAACACTACCTTTAGCTTTAGCTGGATCTTATTTAATATGAAAGGTCAATCTCAAACTGTGAAACTAGTCACCAATGGAAGACTCGAAATGCATGAATGATAATGTATAAACATGTGTTTAAATTATTAATTTATATGGGAAAAGGCAGTGTTCTGCTTTGAAAACTATACCCAAAGTGACAAAAAGTAATGAAAGGCAGTGCGAATTCTATTAGATTAATGTTTATTTATAAAATTCTACTAAATAGCTGGGTGTGGAGGCAACACCTCCTGCACTCAAGAGGCTGAGGCAGGAGGATTGCTGTGAGTTTGAGGCCAGCCTTGGCCTCATAGTGAGCTGAAGGTCAGTCTGAACTGCATAGTGAGACTTTGTCTCAACACACCCCACAAAGCTCTTAAATATAATGCATGAAGTAAGTATCTGTTATGAGCACTTAGATGTATTAAAATGTTTGTTTGAAGAGTATGGGAAATATTGCCACAGAAATTTTATTTCTTTCTAGAGTTTCAGAAGAAGCAATCTTAACCATCTTTGGAAAGACTACACTTATTTCAGAGTCACAGAGACCTTGGGGTACAGGACAGATATAACACTCCTTGTCCAAA